TTTGCCTTTCAAAGGAAAAAGCAGCCCCACGACCACCCGAAACTGTGATTTTTGCCTTTCTCTGCTCGACATGACGCCCAGGTCACAGGGGAGAGAGAGAGAGAGAGAGATAAAGAAAGAAAGAAAAAAAGAAAGAAAGAAAGAAAGAAAGAAAGAAAAAGAGCAAGAGCACGAGCAAGAAAAAGAGCAAGAGCAAGAAAAAGAGACAGAGAAAGAGAAACAGGAAAGCAACGCGGAAAGAGCTCTTCCCACCTTCCCCCGCCCTCCGCCCCTACAGCCTCCCCATGGACAGGGCGCCGTGCTGCCATGGGTTTCAGCATAAGTGCCCAGGCCACAGGAGAGCCGCTGACGTGTGCACTTGGCGCGGCGCCGCTGCAGGGCGCCGCTGCTCTGTTCGCTTCGGGGCTTGGGGAAAAACAATTCAATTTCCGCACCCAGTCTCTGCAATCAGTCTTTGGGCGCCGCTCTTAGTCTTCATTCAATCTCTGCATTGGTTTACTGAAGAAGCGGAAACCAATTCCCAGCGCTTTCATTTCATCGACCTTCGAATTCACACGTCTGGGACATGAAACGTCAAAGGGGAACCGTCCGTGGTTCCAATGCTTTTAAAACTAAATTTGTTGCTAAAATTGCTTCTAACTTCTATCCTTAAGCCTACTGGCTGCTTCTCAACTTATGTGGGTTGTACACTTCATTTGGAAGTCCATTTAACCAAGCGCTTTGACAAAATGTTATTCCGCGGCGCCATCCTGTCCAAATTCTGACCCTCCGTCCCTCTTCTCGATCCATACCTGCCCTCCTCAAGTTGCAGGCAAGGCCACGGGCTCTCCATGTTGCGAAGATCCTGCCAAAGACGGTCTTACTGTAAGTCGGTTCTCAAAAACGATGAAACGACAGACAAAGAGAGACATGACATGGTGGCCCGGGTCTAATTAAGAAATGAAACAATGGCGCCGGCTTAGCCTCATTTCATTTCAAGTCTTAGTTAAACCGGGTTTAACATGGGTTGGCATGTTTCACCTTCAAACCCGAAACTTCATTGGGGGCGGCTGCGAACGCATGTCAACCATTAAATCAAATATGCTCGGCCCTGCCTGTCTGGCGGAAAAGTTCAAACCAAGGTTAATTTGAGACCTGTGAAATGTCTGGTTTGATAACCTGGTTTGAGGTCACTTACCAAAAGGTCACTCTGAAGAAGCTGGTTATGGTGGACCATCGGACCGGAAAACCACAGAAAACATCTCTTTGACAATTCTGAATAACCGTCGTGTTGCACTGTGGCACCGTTTTTTCAAAATCTTGTTGACTGTTGACCTGACCTTTTCTAAGCAATGTCAAAATGGTATCATAATGTTAGTTACACTCCAACTCACTAACATGGAAGTGGAGTTCACCCCCTGTTTGTACAGGACAGTCGTCTTCCGAACTCGGGACCATTTGCCATCCACGTAACCACCATGTGATGTGTAACAGTCATGTCGCAGTGAACTCAACGTCTATACTTCAAGATCATACATTTCCACACGTTTCCACGCTATTTCACACGAGTCTGACACGTCACGATGCCATCCCAAACCCTCTCCAAAAGCTTCCCCCAATGGCAGCGGCCTTAGCGCCCTACTGCGGTCACTTGCGGACGGTTGCGAACGGTTGCGGGCGGTTGCGAACGCTGAGACAACGGGTCGCGAACAAGGCTCTACCCCCAGACCCCCAGAGTTAAACGAGAACCCTTTGCCACGCATTCGGGAATAATAAAGTAGTAGGACAAACGCAACAAAAGGTCGGGGGTGTGGGCGGACCCGCTTGAATCTAAACCGTGTTGGATGATTTCTCCGACAGGACACTCTTGCCAACAAATGATGAGTTTCCACTAGCACTGAAAACGACGAAGTGGAAACATGTCCATTTAATTTACCGCTCCTGTTTGATAGAGAGGCTCCATAAATTAAATAGCGCTGTTTAATTAAGCTTCTCGGGCTTATCCAGCCTTGAGGTATTGGTTCCATTCTATTATAGTTTCGACTAAAGCATCTTAATCATCGGCGCCATTCCGCCGCGCTCGACCCCAAACCCTTTCGGAGCGGACGAAGGAAGGATGGCCCTCAAGGACTGGCCTATAGACTGCTCTTCTCTGCGACAGCTGCACTGGATACAGTCTTCTCCCACAGCGGCTGACCAGCCATGGCAGGCAAAATCACAGTTTCGGGTGGTCGTGGTGCTTTTTCTGTTCTTTGAAAGGCAAAAACGCAGTTTCGCAGCCCTTTCAAAGCTGTGAAAAAACAGCCCCATGACCACCCGAAACTGTGATTTCGCCTTTCTCTGCGCGACTGTGGCGTCATTCCCGTCGTGGCCATATGGGCCCCACCACAGAATGCACCATACATTTTTGCCATGCGAACTAGCAAAGATGCCCCCGGCAGGGCTCGAGCCCACGACCAGCACTTAGTAGACCAACGCCTTATCCGATCCATTAGGCCGTGGAGTCGTTGACTCCAATCTTCGCCTCTGTACAATTGATTGCACCGCGCCTACCTGTGGCGCGGTCGCCGCCTCTATGGACCAATGGAGCTGTGCGAGGGGCTCGTGAGAAGGTGCGCGGTCAGGGCACTCTCATAGAAAGGATTCAGTGCCACGTGGGATTGGAAGAGTGGAAGGACTCGGCGCCACAGTCTCGCAGAGAAGGGCGAAATCACAGTTTCGGGCGGTCGTGGGGCTGTTTTTCTTTGAAAGGCAAAAACACAGCGCTCGCAGCCCAAAGCTGCGTTTTGCCTTTCAAAGAAAAAGAGCCCGGTGACCACCCGAAACTGTGATTTCGCCTTTTTTTGCGCGACTGTGGCGTCATTCCCGTCATGGCCATATGGGCCTCACCACAGAGCACGCCATACAATTTTGCCATGCGAACTAGCAAAGATGCCCCCAGCAAGGCCCAAGCCCAACGACCAGCGCTTAGAAGAGGAACGCCTTATCCACTAGGCCGTGTAGTCATTGACTCCAATCTTCGCCTCTGTACAATTGATTGCGCCGCGCCTACCTGTGGCGCGGTCGCCGCCTCTATGGAGCTGCGCGAGGGGCTCGTGAGATGGACTCTGCGCGACCATGGCTCACATAGAAGTGGAAAGGTAAGGGCTCTGCGCGTCGTGGGATTGGAAGAGTGGAAGGACTCGGCGCCACGGTCTCGCAGAGAAGGGCAAAATCAAAAACTTTCAGGTGGTCGTGGGGCTGCTTTTTCCCTTTGAAAGGCAAAAAACGCAGCTTCGCAGCCCAAAGCTTGCCCTTCGGAGAGAAAAAAGCATATGGGCCTCACCACAGAGTGCACCATATAGTTTTGCCATGCGAACTAGCAAAGATGCCCCCGGCGAAGATCGTCTCCTGCAAATCCAGCTTCCCGGACAAAGGCCTCCCACAGTTCCTCGGAGACATTGAAATGTCCAAGAAGCTCTTGAACCTTCGACATCTGGAGGGCCACGTCCGCGCCAGGAAACATGGCTCCAAAGCACGGCCACCCACAAGCGGCCCGCGAGAAACATCCTCCCAACTTAATGGAAGGTGGCTTGAGCCAAAATGGATGGCCCAAACCACCTTCCCCCACCCATGGTGCAACGCGTTTTGTCCAGCAGAAAATGTTCCATTTTCTTTCATAACAATCGTGCAAAATGCGTTCCTTTCATAGCCATCTTCAGGCAAGCAGCATTGATGCTCCCTTGCCGCAGCAAGCCCCACAAACGACTCCGCCTCAAAAAGCGGTGCCTGGCTGAACACCCTGGGAGCCTGGCTTAACGGCTTCACTATCAAGATCCAGTTTGCAAGCTGATGTGTGCTGAGAGCTTTTGGACTGAAAAGGCCAAACAGGAACCACACACAGACTGAGCGACCGATCCTGAACGGACTTCCAACCATGCAGTTCTAGATTCTAGACCCAACACATATCCCGGTATCACCCAAATCCAAGGTCAAACCTTCTGGAAGCACACGCTTGAACTATCTATCTTGAACTGCTTCCCTGCTGGCACCATTCTTGGCCGAGTGGCTGAGAAGATACAATTCCACTTGAGCCAAGATTTAGGCCAACTTTTGCTCCCAAACCATGAGCCTTCTTGATGCCTTCCTGGCACTTCTTCGCTCAACTCGGCACTTCTTCACAGTTCTGTCAACTGTTGGCACCTCGGCAGCATTCTCAGGGCACAGAAAGGTGTAGATGTCGAAGTAAACGAGGTCAAGGCCTTCGCCCTCAACCTGCAAGTCACACAGGCACGAAAACATACTGAGAGCCAAATGAGCCTGTGGGAGCTGGTTTGCTCTCACAAGTCGGAATTGGAGTCAAAGGTTGACAGCATGTTGTGCATTGTAGTGACTTAACTGCATCAAAGGAAAACTGTCTGGTGTGACAAACGTGACAATAGCATCATGACAATACAGTGGCTGTCTGGCGGCTCGATCCAAAGCTTCGCAGAGCTGGGCCGATCGCAAGGAATCAGAGGCTACACCTCCGCACATGCCATGGCAAGCAAACAAGTCTAACAAACTTAGGAAGGGTGGGTCCTGGGTCACCTTCTCACTCCTGCTATGCATTACGTACAGCACAGTAGTTGGGCGAAGAAGAAGTCTCTTCACCACCCCATCACCCTGATGATGTGGGTCATGTTGGTGGCGCTCATGTCCCATGTCTAACTTCGAAGCCACTACTGTCTCACACTGCAGGACTTGCGCGTCAAAAGCCTCAAACTAACACCCACCAATGCCTGTTCGATATGCAAATGATCGTTCACCATCCGGCGTCACAAGGCAAAGAACTTCTCCTGTCGCAGAATCTGCCTGGGTCACAGCGTAGCAGTAAATAGCTTCGTGCTAGATATCCAACAACTGGCTTCTGCAATTTACTGTACATATCTATAATCTATGTACGAATGCTTGCTGGGTCATATAGGTGTCAACGGTGCCATCAAAATCAATTTTATTGTTTGTAATTACCTAGCTGCTGTTTGTCTCAGGCCACTGTCATACAGAAGATTCGATGTTTGAGGCACTCGACTCCTCAAAAATGTCAGTGTCCAACAGCTGTGCTTTAAACTTGTGGCACCTGAACGGTGATGTCCTTCACGTGGTGCTGCGCAAGAGCTGCCCGAAAGCTCTCACCGACCTTGCCGAGTCAAACAAGAACATACAGTATATACATATATATATATTGTGATGATCCAAGAGGTCATGGGTAAAGGGGATCTTTTGTGAGAGCTCCAAGAAATTGGCTTTCGGTTCCCCAAATCAGCGACCTCGTCTCCACTTTGAACCGTTCACCTCGCTGATCTGCTCCCAGAGGGCTAAGGAGCTGAATTGCTTCCCAAACAGCCGCAGAAGGCCGTATCGCAACCGAGGCATGCCAGCACCTTGTTGTCCGCTGCGCTGTGCGGAATGGCTCAACAAAACCAACGGCATGGCTGTACTGAGAGACATCTTACAGCTGGCAACAACTTCAGCTAGTAAGCAGTCCAGAGGCTCTGGACGTGCAGTAGTTGTACAACGAATAGCCAAACACAATCAGAAACATGTACCAGAGTCAAAGCAGTTCAATATCTAGCTGTGTGGTTGAAGAGCTAGGAGCCTTGGCAGTGTTGCAAGCGCATCCACCACACTGAGACGCAGAGCTGCTTGAGACAGTGCGTGCAGCCTCCTTCAATTGCTCAAAGTCCTGAGGTTTGATAAATCTTCTCCAGCAGAGCCGACTGATCGTTTGATGTCCTTTGAACAGAGCCCACAGCACATGTCTGTCCAATTGCAAGGGTCAACACCCCCTGTTGATTTCTTCATGATTCGGTACACCAATCCCAGCCATGAAGCATTGCCGTCGGAAAACGGTCTGGCATCCCCTGTGAGGCTGGAGAAATTCACACAGCGCCATTTGCTGTTGGGAACGCTTGGCAAATCGCAATGCACAAAGGCATGTCATAAAGAACTGCCAATCAATCAATTGAGATCAATTGAGCAAGCTGCGCACCTCGAGGCAGCCCCTGTGTGGACAGGAAAGAGTCTGGGACGTATGCCATAGTATCCTTGGCAGCACTCAAATGCAGTATCCACTCTGTTACACTGTTTGTCAAAACATCGGAAGCGGATCAAATCATTGATCCAATCATATCCAATCATTGATCCAAAATGATCTTATATAATCCAATAATATCCAATATAATCTAATATCATCCAATGGTCCGATGTCTTCCTGCCAGCCAGGTCTCCCAGTTGGGCGATCCCACAGCCACCACAAGCGGTGCCATCAACGCTCTAGAGCGGTGGCACACGTCTCACACGGTCTCCCCGTGTGCAGAGCAGGGGAGGTCTAAAAGAGATGTCAGCCTCTAGCTTTGCTGATGTTTATTGTGAAGGCAGAGCCCCAAAGTGGCCAAAGTGGCTGAGAACAAATCGCAGATTTGGTCCTTTTTGGGCCTAAAAGTCGAAAAGATCGCAGGAAAGAGAGGAGGCCGCAAATATGTTACAGGACATGTTTCCTTTTGAATGATCGTCAAAGACGAAAAGTCCCCTAGTGAGAAGACTTCAAAGTCTCTTCGAAACTCGCCTTTGCATGGTGGGTCCGAGTCCCTAGTCTTGCACTGCAAGTAAAATCAATTTTACGCGCACAAAGCAACCCCACGTCCTGGTACGTCCGAGTGCGATAGTCGTCAATGTACAATCGACCTCGTGCACCACTGGAGGCCGCTCACAGAGAGGCCACTCCACAACTTCACAACCCCGGTCCGGGCCTTTTGCAGCTCCAGTTTGCGGATTTAGGTACACGTTCAAGGTGAATGGATCCTGAAAGATTGCTTGGATTTGAGAGGTGCTTCATGATTTGGACTGCCAGGACAGATTTACGTCTTAGATCTGGCACACCAGAAATCTAAAACCACTGCATGTGCTTGCAGGCGGTCCAGGCTCATGCAAGCAGAGCTTCTCCGTATTCTCGATTTCAATGGCACCACCTCAACTCCCAATGCAAGGCTCCATACAATGTCCATCTATTGTCACGGTGCTTCAGCTGAGGTCCAAGCAGTGCCGGCTCTGTAGTAGGCCGGGATGCTGTCGAGGTCCAACTTGTGGACATGTGCTCCGGGAGCCTTGAAAGCCCCGTTGTGGATGCTGTACCTCCGCTGCCGGTGCTTCTCTGATTCACCCACCATACAAGGCGCAACTGTAAAAGAACTGTTTGGAAAAGTCACATCACATCCCCAAAAAATCACGCGCACCATCCAGATGCCTTCGGCAGGTACACTGTGGCCTGCGAGCTGTTTCAACCAGTCCCCATCCACCGTTCGTGCGACATGCGAAGACATGCGACTGAACTAACTACTCAACCAGAAAAATCCAGAAAAACCACGGCCCCCCGCATGTGTTTCTCGCGCGGGCGTCGCGTCAGGTCCTCCGACTGCTCGGAGGAGGGCTTGGCAATGCCGTGAACCAAAAGAGAATCTCCCAGCATAATTTGGCTCTCCAAGGCCTCCGCAAAAGGCGGTCGGTTGCCATTCACTGCGCCCATGACTTGTGTACTAACTTGTGGCACAAGTTCGTGGCGCTTGTGTGGCTGGTAGGGAGGCATTACTCTTGTATAATCTTGTTTTTAGGGATTGAATGGTATTGACAATGATGGAGTTGAGTCAAAGCTGCATGCCAAGAAAGATCTTTACAGGATCACAAGGAGCGGGGATGGCGGTTGGCTCGGGAACCCAGAAGTCTCTGGCCCGGAGCTGATCGTGCCTATATTTATAGACATCTTTGTCTACGTAGTCTGACGTTTCTTGGCCTCCTCATTCTCATGCGTCTGTGGATCATCCTCAGGCCAAATCCGTCCTTCTCAGTTCCTTCTCAGTTCCTTCTCACCAACTCTATGACTCTATCATACTCTATCCGTGTGTGTTTTCTTCGGGGTCATTTCGAACAGCATCTCATGAAGGAGTCAAGGTCTGTCAGTTCGAAGCACTGAGCCAACTGACCAGGAAGTCCCAAAACAGCGGCCGCACGACCGGTTCGGCAGCAGAAGCCCAGCGGTGGAACAAGGTGTACCACAATGGAAGCATTTTGTACCTAGTGTACGAAAGCCAAGTGATACTGAAACGAAAGCCAAGACATGCCATTTGCACTCAGAGTATTCTGTCTACACATGTTGGACGCATCTCTTTCCGTTTGACACTGCTGTTTTAACTTCCATATCGTAAATTGCTTTGTCACCGTGAACACGGCCATAGACCAAAAATCTGACTGATAGCCACTGATAGCTCAACTCCAGCTGCCAGTCGGCCTCATTTGCAGTGACGCCTTGATTCTCAGCATGGTCTTCTCATCGAAGACGTATGGCTCTCTTCGCGGCGTCTGTCACAAACGCGCGGAGCCAGGCAATGCCTTTTTCGAAGCTGAGCAGCGAACCTGCCTCCAGGTGTGCATGATTCCGTAGGAACGGATAGATCAGAACAGCCAGCTGATACCTCAAAGTGAGGCCAAAGCACTAGATGACTTCAAGAAAGCACTCCATGTCAAATGCACGAGAAGCTGTTTGAAGGGAATGTTTGGTTGAGTCCTCCACTTTGACTCAAAGAAGCTTTTGTCACTGCTCAACCAACTCTCCTATTTCCTTGCAGTTCATGTCCTGCTTGGTGGTTCAATCATGTCTCAAAGCCCTTGCACTCTTTGACTTGTTATATAATCTTACCCACTCAGAGTCTCACCATCTGACGGTCATCTCAGTATCCGGATGCTTGAAAAATCCGCCCACATCCTGAGCTGATTACTCCTCTGTTGTCAAATTACTTCATGAAAAATGGATATCTCTGGAGCCAGCTGCAGAACCGACGGGATCGATGGGGCGAAGCACCAAGGAACAGACGTGACACAGAACTCGAACGGTCTTTCGAACGAACGAAGCAACATCTGCGCTGTGATTCGTGGACTTCTTGTGACTCCGAAGGCGGGTTTTGCAGCCAAAAATCAGCTCCCACCAGGGACTGGCCACCAAGAGTCAAGGCTCCAACCTTGGAAGTCATCACCCAGGGCAGACCAACCCAGATTCGAGTTTGCTCACATAGAGCTCCAGGATGAATGATATCAACTCAATATGCTTCCATGTCATACCTTCCCTCAAATAAAAAGTGAGATCGCCAACCTATGCAGAAACCTATTGAGATGACCCAAAATCAAGGGCAGTTCCACCACTCGCAAGAAGCAATCACAGTTCCACCACTCCATGGTCTGAGGGGAGATCCATGGCAATGGAGGCTTTCAGATGCGACCACTGGGCATAGTTGTCGCCTGCGTCTCGAAACTCCACTTATCCGCAGCTTGCGGCCGCCGCGAGGTGTTTGGCTGACGTTGGTTTGTCCGACTTTCGTGTGTCAAGTCGCAAAAGCTGCTGGGACCCAACTTGTTATAACCCTACCCACCCTACTCCTAGTGACGGTAGCCTTTTTAGGCTCCCCCTTCATTTGGGTAGTGGCCGGTGCGAAGTTGTTTTGTCAAGCTTTCCTTCAAACATCGAGCCGATCCCGCCTGTCCAGATTGCACTATACTTGTGCGAGCCTATGAAGAAGGACCGCGTGAGGACAAAAGGCCTGACATCACAGAAAGGCCAATGTCATTATTGTATATTTTCAGACGATGTGGTTTTTTTCCAAATATACACAAGTCGGGCACTGCTCCTGCCTGTCGCCAGGCGTTCGTTTCTGCAAGCCTTCAAAGGTGGCACGATGGACATAGTATCCGTACCTCGCGACATCATCAAATGCCTCAAAAGCCTACTTGTGATCTCAAGTCAAGGACGTTTGCCACTGCACCGAAACAGTAAAAGGATGTAAAAGGCATGGGCCTTGTTTGGAGAAAAATCATGCTGTGGCTCACATGTTGTGCACATCGCGGTGTTCAACCATCCCATTGGGATGTATAGCATCTCTTGGCATGGTGACCTGTCCATGCTTAGTCGGAGATCCGCTATTTCTTCCGCTGCAGCAATTCATTCGAGCCTCTGGACCATTGAACACTGAGGGCTCGTTCATGTCATTCCTGCCATGTTAGGTTCTCATGAACATATGAGTCAGCTATGTAGGGCTATGTAGCTGTTCGAAAAAGAAACCCAAAATTCCCAAGGCAAGGGAGTAGAGATAAAAACAAACATACTCCGAAAGGGACCGACGTCGCCTACTAGACAGCTTGTGACAACTTGAAACATCGACTTTTGAAATAACATTCCAGTCGGGCCAAATGTAGGTGTCAGCGTTGGTGCCGGTGTACTTGTCCAGGGCAAACTGAGACCCCCAATACTCTCGCATAGCTGGGTCCTGAATCAAGATCGCATCGTTGTTGCGCTTTGCAAGACGTAAACACACCAACGGCTGCAATTCAGGACGGGCAAGCGGACGACGTGTCTTTCCAAAGCCAAGCGGCTGTAAAGTCCGGGTACAGGGATGTCCCCGGCCAACACCACCTTACGGTGAAGGTCTCTGGCGATCCAACAGCACTCCGTTGGGAAACGCGCCCCCCCCCATGTCGCCGATGTCGCCGCTCGTGTCGTGGCTCGTGTCACATGACATCACTGGCTCGCTTCGTCTGGTACCAAGGCGCCCCTCAAAGTCTGTCAGGTCAGGCGTGGGATCGTTCACCTTTCGGGGATGCCACCTGCCAATCGGAAGATGCGATGCCTCCTGGAACCCCATGCTGGGAAGGTCTGAATTACAGCAAATTCCTGTGCTTCAAGGCATCCGAATCACAACATGCAGAAAACATGCAAAGCCAGGCTCGGTGTCCTCAACATGTCGGGCGCACGCTCCCTTGTAAGCTGGATTGTCAATTTGGGGAGCAACCCAAGGTCCATCTTCCTCTGTATTCCACTCCTGCGGTCACTTCAGGGGTTGGAAGAATACATGCTTGAGCAAGCTCTAGAAGCCCTGTGTTTCAGTGCAATTGTGTATTTCAAAGAACCTCTCTGAGAGTTTGCCAGCAATTTAGTCCAAAAAACATGGCTCTTCGAAAGGCGTGGTTTTGCATGTCCTATCACTTCCTGATTCTCGATTTGATGAGCCGTGGATGTTCCAAGCAAACCATGATGCTCCAACTACCCCGGCAAAGGTTTTGACCGTCAGCCGTTCAACCGCACCCATCAAGGTACTTCCGTCACATGCAACCTACCTCGAAGTCGCGACCTTCACGCACCCCCTGCTGCTGTGTCGCCCCCCCTCCCCGCAGAAGAGCTCCGGAGGCTGCGTTGCCGTTGGATCAGGGATTTTGGTCTCCTCAACCC